TAAAAAATGTTGATGCAGTTGAACAGCTCAATATATGTATAAGCATATGAAGTTTGATAAACATATCTAAAGTTTCTTTGAAAGTGATATAATCACTTATTTAAGAAAGTAAGGGCAAGGTCAAAGCAAAGATTAAGGTAAAAAATATTGATGCAGTTGAATAGCTCTCATCATTCAGTATGTGTCGGCATGCAAAATTTGATTAAAATATCTTGAACAATTTCTTTGAAACTTAGATAAACACAAATTTAAGAAAAGTGAGGTCAAGTAAAGGCCAAGGTAAAAAAGAAAATGTTGATGAAGTTGAATAGTTCTAATCAGTATGTATCAGCATATAAGGTTTTATAAAAGTATATTGAATAGTTTCTTCGACACTGAGCTAAACACTAATTTAACTAATTTAAGAAAAGTGAGGTCAGGGTTAAAGGGAAGGTAAAAAAATGTTGCTCTCATCAGTATGTAACTGCATATGCAGTTTGATAAAAATATCTTGAATAGTTTTTAGCTCACCTGAACTGAAAGCTCAAGTGAGCTTTTCTGATCACCCGTCGTCCGTCCGTCTGTCCATCCATCTGTCCATCCGTCTGTAAACTTTTCACATTTTCAACATCTTCTCAAGAACCACTGGGCCAATTTTAACCAAATTTGGTACAAAGCATCCTTGAGTGAAGGGGAGTTTAAATTGTTAAAATAGAGGGCCAAACCCCTTACAAGGGGAGATAATCAAGAAAAGACAAAAATAGGGTGGGGTCATTAAAAAAATCTTCTCAAGAACAACGAGGCCAGAAAAGCTGAAACTTATGTGGAAGCATCCTTGGGTAGTGTAGATTCTAAATTGTTAAAATCATGACCCCCGGGGGAAGGGCGGGGCCACAATAGGGAATCCAAGTTTTACATTGAAATATATAAAAAAAATCTTTAAAAATCTTCTTCTCAAGAACAATTGGGCAAGAAAAGCTGAAACTTATGTGGAAGCATACTTGGGTTGTGTAGATTCTAAATTATTAAAATCATAGCCCCTGGGGGCAGGGCGCGGCCACAATAGGGAATCCAATTTTTATATTGAAATATATAGAAAAAAATCTTCTTCTCAAGAACCACTTGGTCAGAAAAGCTAAGACTTTTGTAGAAGCATCCTGGGGCAGCGTAAATTCTAAACTATTCAAATCTTGACCCCTGGGGGTAGGGCAGGGCCACAATAGGGGATCCAAGTTTTACATTGAAATATATAGGAAAAATCTTTAAAAAATTTTCTCCTCAAGAACCTCTTGGCCAATAAAGCTGAAACTTATATGGAAACATCCTGGGGTAGTGTAAATTTTAAATTGTTAAAATCATAACCCCCGTCGGTAGGGCGGGGCCACAATAAGTATTACAAAAAGATCGTCTGGTGAAGAACAGCAGGGCCAAAGTTATTCAGGTGAGCGTTGTGGCCCATGGGCCTCTTGTTTTTTGTTGTTTTTTTTTTAACTAAGCTAAACGCAAAGTGTGACGGAAGGACAGGTGGAAAGACGGAAGACAGACATGACAAACACTATATGCCCCGGCCATATTAATATATTCCAATCCATGTACCCATTTTTATTATTTGGTAGAAGTGTCCTTAATATTAACAAAATGTACCAAAAAAAAGGTTGGTAAGAACAAGCATAATACGATAAGTTACAGCTAGCCTAGGTAAAACGGATACTGCTTTGATGGTTATCCCCACCTAAAGTTTCCTGTTAAAAGGTATAATGCAGACATTGACACAAACGTTGAACATATTGAAATTGGATCTCAAATGCCAGTTTCTGCAACAGATAAGCCCATGGTACCTGGGGGGGGGGGGTCTGTCCCCTTCCCCACTTTTTCTGAGTATTTTTTTTTTTTTTCATTTATTTTTATATAATTGTTCATTCTAAGGCCACATCTGCACTTGTTGTTGCAGTATGGTCAAACCCCCTCACATTATTGTATAGAGATTTTTTCCAGTTTTCTGCCGAAAATTAAAGTTGGCATCCTTCATGATTCTGAAATTTTAGTTTTTCTTTTCTTTTTATTGCTTCGTAGTCAATTGCTTTTTTTCTGGATGTCCCTCATTTTCAAAAGAGATGCTATTAATGTGCCTGACAGTTACGTATGCATTCAGCATGCTGTTCAGATGACACCTATCCTAGCAGTCTTTAATTATTGTTATATTTTAGAAAGCATAAAAAAGTATCTTGGGATGATATCCAGAGGGGAATACTCTGCCGTATTACAGTATGTTTCACAAACAGCGGAAATTCTCATTAACGAGAGGGAGAGTTTCCGGCTTATTGAATGTTATAATGCACATAATATAATCATGATTTCAGAGCGATATACAGCGTAGATTTTATCATCAATATAAATATGTTTTATATTTTCTTCTATTCCCTAACGCGCGCAAGTTATATATTTACACAATGTAACGGCAAAAACTTAGAGTCACAAAACTCTAATACAAATTAAGGTTCCATCTATTGATGACCAGTTTAAACGCATTTATTAATCAAAAAAGAAAAGGAAAAAGAGAGAAAAAAAATCAGCAGCTCCCCTTCAAAAAAGAAAAGAAAGAAAAGAAATCACAAACTGCATTCAAATAATCCATTAAAAAATTTAATTTGTTTATTCATTTTAGCAGGGACCTATATACTATATAGGTCCCTGATTTTAGTAACTTATTTATTTATGATAATTATTATTTTTCAGCACTCATACCGTTCAAATGTAAGTTACGCAGTTAATGCCCTTTACTAGGTGGGAGGTTTTCAGCGGAAGTGACAGATGGCGCACAATGGAAAATGGCCGCCTCCATACAGTCTTCCAAAGTAATCCCGATGTTGGATGATAATTTTCTTTTAATCAATATTCTTTAACACAACTTACCCAACTTAAACGCGAAAAAATGAGCATCAAAGCATTCGAACTTGTTCCGGTCGTTGAGCGGATCAAGTTAATGTCAGAAAAGGCTAGAACACAGGTGAGGCTGAGGGTACTGATGCTGATAAGATCAGCAGTTGTGTATATTTACATGACTAGTACTATTTTGCATCTACAGCTTGATAATGATACATATTTTACATTTTTACGGTGTGACCGATGGGCTAGCGGAGTTGTAACATTAAAAACCTTAACCAGGTCCAGTACAATCAATACATTTAGCTACGTAGCTAAAATTACCTACCGTAGCTTTATTTACCTACCTCAGGTAGCTTTATTTAGCTATTTCATGGCAACTTTTCACAATTTTGCTTTTTATTCTAAAAAGACAAAAAGTCGCAAGTAAATGTCTACTAATATTTATTCTAGGTATTATTTAAACAGCAATTTAAAGCAGAGATAGTTTTAATATTGCTGCATTTGAACACTTTTAAGGAAAATATGTATTTCCATTGTTTGAGTAACAGTACATCACCTTGTGTGCGATGAGGCATGGATAAGTATGATTACTTCACATTGTGCTCATGTTAACCAAAACTGGTCTTCTTTGTAATTTCAAACTTTTTAGAACTTTGATTGCAATTGTGCAGAAAAAGACACATCTCCAAGAGTGATTTTTTCATGAATTGCTTTCAGATGAGTTCAAAGTTGAAAATTATCACTGCATCAAAGTGCAATTTTCTCCACTTTCTGGGAAAAATGCTATTTTAAGAAATAAGTTTGATTTAGTAGCTAAATAAAGCTACTTCAGGTAGGTAAATAAAGCTATGTAGGTAATTCAAGCTACGTAGCTAAATCTAGTGATTGTACCAGACCTGTTAACACCGCCAACACTTCATCCTTGTCAGGGGGTCCAGAGTCTACATGTTGCTGTTGGACCCCTGACAAATTTTATTTGATATCTTATAAGCTGACTGCAGCAATGTCTTTCAAGAATAAATTTGATCTGCCTCTTCAGTTTATTGAGCTCACTTTGCGAGTGGTGCTTCACATCTCTCACTGTGCTTGCTGTATATTCCTGATCTCAACATAAGTATGGATTGTAATGAACCACGTATAGCTCATAGGGGCTTTGTCTTAGGGTGATGTATTTTAAAATATTAATCAATATCTACACTTTTCCTGCTGATGTTCAGCAAGATTTAGCTTCAAAAATGATTGAATAACTCCCTCCTATTGTCTGAGGATTTGCATTTGCCATATAACACATGCAATGAATCAAAACATCATATATCTAGCACTGAAATTGAAAGCAACAGAATTGATGATTTCTAACTATGTTAAGTGTAAAGGTGTCCCAGAATCTCACAGAAAGTCTAGGGAGGTCAGAAACTGTGCCAAACTTGTTTTCTTGTGCTCTAAAAAGAGCTTGTACGAATGGAAGCAATTCAAAGACCAAAATTTTTTTATGATTCCATTGACCATGGTGTGTAAAAAAAAGTCTAAAACTCCCAATCCTTTTTGCATGCACAACAACATGGAGTCTATAAAGCTTAGCATACTTGAAAAGATTTGCAAAAGGAATTTTTATGGAATTTCTTTGCCACAAAACTATACTAGATATATATATATATATATATATATATATATATATATATATATATATATATATATATATATATATATATATATTTGTAACCGATTAACCGATTACCCGGTCAGAATGATGGCAATCGATTAGAAAATCTGTAATCGGTTAATCGGAAAAAATAAAATATTTGTTAAATTGAACACATTTTTAAAAAAGGTTCACTTCTATATAAATAGGGATCTGACCTATAGGGCCGGGCTTGGTTTTTTTCTCTACAAAAAGCTTGTCGATTTCCGTTCCGATTAATGACATTAGGCTGAATACATGTAACAATTTGTTTTTCATAAATCTTTATTTCAGTGAGTAAAGGTAGGAGGAACACTTTCATTGATATTCTGAGTTTGTTATCTCCAAATGTAATTATAATTGATATTTTTCTTTACTTCTTATTGTACATAATGGTAATGTCTACTGTCTCTGGAATTAAATTTTTTTATGTCTAGCCTATTTATTTTACAACACATTTTCATTGGATATAATAAAATATGCCATTAATGTGTGCAAATCATATAGGCCTAAATGAAATCCAAGGGAGTACAGTTACTGGTATATGTAGCCCTACTGTTTCAAAACTTAAGATCTTAGAACACTGACTGCAAACAAAAGAACAAGTATGTTATTCTAAATATGTTAAGCTCAAATAATTCAAGCAATACGTAACATACTACATGTAACCCAGACAAGCACTAGCAACACAAACAGAATAAAAGCAATGTGATTAAATTCTAAGAAATATATACAATTGAAATTCATCGCAGCTCAATGCTGCCGAAAATACCTGTATCGAGTAACACAGAGTGAGTTATTCTTGTCCTCGGAGAAAGTGTGCTTATACTGAGATTTGTTCCGCCTGACTGACAACTATACATAGGATTGTTACGATTTGATCTCTCTCTAGTGTTTCTTATATCAAGAATGGGAATGCATAAAGGATAGATAATTGAAGGAAAATACACAAACCTATAAAATTTTAAAATAATCTTTCAAAAGGCGAAAATTTAAAACTATAAAAGTGTGGCACCAGGTGGATTCGAACCCCCGACTTTAAAAAGAAAGGACCCACAATATAAAAGTCAGCGCATATATCAAATGAGCTATTCTGCCTACTAGATTAAATGGTATAAATTTGAAGCAGATTGTCAAAATCAGGTTTACTTATTTTTTGTAGGTTTTGTGTGAATTTCGACCCTAGGGCAGGGGTGCCCCTAAAAAAATCCTATCTTAAATTACTCCTTACATCCCAACCTATCAAAATATCACAATTTTATTTAAGGGCAGGCCTGCCCTGAAGGACTTCTAGGCCAAAATTTATGCAAAAATCAACGCTTTAACGGACAAAATGGTGTTTCGGCCAACTATGGAGGTTTATTGTAAAGTTGTAAATAATAAATTTTAGTTGTAAAATACAAATTTGAAAAATTAAGACATATATACGGCAGAAAACAACAAATGAAGATTGATTTTTAAATGTCACTTTTTCCGGGAAATTGTTCTCTCCTATAGGTCAATTCTTTTGTAATAGTGAATACATCCTTATTTTAGAAAAAAGAAATTTCTGCACAAAGGATGATCATTTAGGATTAAAAGGATCTAATTTAGACATACATGTAATTATGAATCTCCAGATTGAGACGGTAGCATAATTGGTCAGTTTATGTAGTGTTAATTACTGTGAAAACACCATGTCGTTACCCCGACTGTCACGTAATTCTTTAATGATAATAATTGAATCACTGAGCACTGTGAATTGGCGTGTTTGTGGTTTTCAGTTTTCAATCCAATTTAATTATTAAACAAACATTGTAAATAAAGGGCTATAGAGTTCACATGTAGTTTTGATTATCAAATTCATAGTGAAAATGCAGTTCTGAAAGAACTTTTGTTACATCTGCCCTGGAAAATTATCAAAGATTTCTTAGGCTTTTTTCTTGGTTTTCTCTTTTTTTTCTTGTCTACTGAAATTTAAATAAAAAATATGTACCTGTATTTTTCTGATCCAGAATCAAGACTAATGGAATGTTTTAACTTCTATCGTCTTATTTGGGTCTATTTGTATATATTGACAGAGCTACTTGAAAAACAATTGTCAAGAAAACAAGCATTTGATTGATACGATTAACTGGTTAATCGGTCGGAACGTCTTGCGGGTAACCGATTAGCAATTCTGTAATCGATTGCCATCCCTTATATATATATATATATATATATATATATATATATATATATATATATATATATATATATATATATATATATATATATATATATATATATATATATATATATATATATATATATATATATATATATATATATATATATATATATATATATATATACATACAAAATGGGTTTATGCAATTAATATTGTACATCAAAAAAGTATCAACCAAATGTTGGTATAACTGACCTTGAGCATTCGTATGAATATTTGTAAGCATGATATGGTTATTCAGCTCATGAGTCTTTGTTTAATAACATTTCAGTATTATGGTTGAATTCTGCATTAAATACATAGCCAATGCCCAATTTATTTAGGTCATCTTGTGTGACATTGATCCAACTATCTTTACTGATTTATGATTTCAGTTGGACTGTATTGATGTTTGTGGTAAAAATCTGTACATCGGAACAAGTGATTGGTTTGTATATGATCATCTATCTGCATATTGTACCAAGTCACAGTCATCTTTCATTTGTTCCAAAATCATTAGATTGACTACAAAAAAATGTTAAATACAATAATAAACTTTGTTTTTTGAGGGTTTTTTTTTCTCTCTCTCTCTCATCTATGTAATTGACGTTTAAATTAAAAGTTGAATGTTTATTGTATACTGAATTATATGTTCTATGTTGTAGCTTTGTTGTCCATTACACAATTGAAGAAAGGAATCAAATATCAGGAAAAGTCAGCTTTCACTGTGATAAAATAGGACACAAATATCTTGCTCTTGTAAGTACAGAAAAAAAGAAAATAATGTCCACAGTGACCACTGATAACATTAAATTATTCAAATAGTTCAGCTCTAATAATTTTAGAAAAGAATGGTATTTTGGTCACTATAACATAAAAAAAACTGGTATCAATGTATAAAATGAAAGAGAGAAAATTGAGGTTTTATAATGCATACGTTAATACATGTACCTGAATATATATTTTATTGATTTCAGAAAAAACCAATAGTTCAAATTAAATCTGCTTCTGCCTTGAATCGAATCATGGTGCTTTGTGACAATACCATATCCATGTTGAACATGTTAGACCTAGAGGTAAAACTCAGATGGAAGGAACAACTGACACTGTGGCTTCTTGTTATAGTCATTCCGTAATTTGCCAGAGAGGACTCTTTTGCTTTTAAAATTATTAAACTACTGTTGTGGTATTTAGCCTCATATTTCAAATTACCAAATACCTAAAAAAAGCCACATATGTTTATTATATGTATGTGCAAATTATGCAAGCTTTATAAATAGGCTTATTTGGTACAAAAATTGAAATTGGTTTTTTTTTTTTTTTTGTGAATGACAGCCAGTGATGGGAGGTGCCAAGATCAAGGGAGTTAACTGCTTTTGTTTTAATGAGAACCCACACAACAGTAGTCCATTTAGTGTCGAGGTATGGCATGTGATAAGTTCTAGTAATTTTTAGCTCACCTGAGCTGAAGGCTCAAGTGAGCTTTTCTGATTATATTTTGTCTGCAGTCGGTATGTTTGTAAACTTTTCACATTTTCGACTTTCACTCAAAAACCACTAGGCCAATTTCAACCAAACTTGCCACAAAGTATCTTTAAGTAAAAGGGATTCAAGTTTCTTCAAATGAAGGACCATGCCTTCTTCAAAGGGGAGATAATTACAAATAAGTGAAAAATTAATGGCAATTTTTAAAAATCTTCTTCTCAAGAACTACAGGGTTAGGGTGGGGCCACAACAGGCAACATAGAAATACATAAGAAAAATCTTCTAAAGTCTTCTCAAGAACAGCAATGACATGATTAGTCATATTTATATCATATTTAAATTGATATACATGTATCCTGAGGTAGTGTAGATTTGAATTTGTTCAAATCATGACCCCTGGGGTAAGATGAAACCCCAACAGGGGATCAAAGTACACATGGGAATAAATAGTAAAAATCTTCTTCTCAAGAACAGCAAAGCCATAATTAGTCATATTAATAAAGAAAAATCCTCAGGTAATGTAGATTCATTTTGGTCAAATTATAACCCTGGGAGTAAGGTAAGGCCACAACACAGGATCAAAGTTATGCATAGGAGTATAGGAAATATTTTAAAAATCATCTTATCAAGAAGAACTTCTAAAAAAAGTCATGTTTAGTCATATTAATACAGAAGCATCCTTAGGTAGCGTAGACTTCAGTTTGTTCAAATCATGTCCCTTGGGATAGGGTTTGTCCACAATAGAAGATCAATTGTATAGGAAAAAACTTTAAAAACCCTCTGAAGCCATGATTAGTCAGAGAAATATGAAAGCATCTTCACAGGCAACTTTGCCACATATGATCCACATATGTGTATCATATGTGAATCATATGATTGGTTTCATATGAGAATCATAAAAAAAGGGCATCATATGTGAATCATATGAGTCACATATGATTCACATATGTGAATCATATGAAAAGAATTTCATATGATTTGCACATGAAAAGTTTTAGTGTGTTTCAAGTCATTTACATATGAGAATCATATGAAATGGGCATCATATGTATAACATATGAAACATTTATGTGTTTTTTTTTCATATTTATCAAAAGGAAATACACACTTGTACACATTGAAAATCAGGTATTTCTGCTTTAGATGAAATTTCAGTACATTCCAATGATCTGTTAAATACCTGTAAATATTTGATAATGCTTGCACAATTTTCCAAAAGTATCTTCATCAACAGAAATAACTAATATCACACAGTGCACACTTTAAACAAGAAAGTATACAAACAAGTCAGTAGCATTTGTCGATACATGTATTTTACATATTCTAAAACGAGTACAAATTATTTGAAAGGATTTCAGCAAAATGATCAAGGAGATGAACATGTATACAAATTACATGTACCAATGAATAACATAATTAGATCATGAACTTGTATAAAAATACTATATGACATGGAAGTGTCCTCAGAAAAATTGAAATATCTGCAACACCATTTGTCAATATATGTAGTCTCTATTGTAAATTTATGACAAATCATAAGTAATTCAGATTACATGTACCTACAGCATATTTAACACATAAATGAGTATGAAATCACAAAGGATGACGTCTCGATCGAACAAAGATACATATATACATATATATAGTTTTTCATAAAAATGTTTATGTATTTATGCATAAAGCATGAAATATAAAATGTGAATACATTAGAATGAGATTTTACAATCAAAATGATATTCCAGTATACATATAAATGTAGAAAGCCTTGCATGTCAAAGTCTGACAAAATTAAGTACATCCTTCTCATTCATATTTATTCCAGATATTTCCTAATTCTTTTCTTTCTCTGTCAACTTTTCCCATTTGTCCTCCCTCTGATCTTCCATCATCATATTGAAAATTCTTTGAACTGTACCCAAAATGCAAATCCACCAATGTCCCCTTTCTGAACAATTTGTTTGTGGCACAGAATAATCTCTAAAAATTATTTTTAAAATAATTAGCATTAATAATAATAACAAGAGGTCCATGGACCACATTGTTCACCTGAGCAAACAATGGCAAACTCGCTTAACTCTGACACAAGTGGCTTTTGTGAAATGTGTGTCAATACAAAAAATTGCAAAAGTATTTTTTTGATATTTGTTCCATACTGATCAAATTTACTCAAGATTCCCTCCTTAGGCCCCACTATTGTAGCAATGTAGAATTTGTTAAAAAGACTTAATTTTTTCCTATACACAAGTATAAATTACTATGTAAAACTTTGCAACCCTTCAGGGGCCCCAC